TAGCTTTGCATGTATGTGTCCATGGCTGACCACTTGGGATTGGACAAGCCACAAAGGAGATTGTCTCTGGAGGAGACTTATTATCGCTCTGCCACAGAATGCATGTAGCTCTTCATCTCCGGGTGAGACCATGTTGAATTTTCCATGTTTGCCTTTGCATGCCTGTTGTTTTTGTCATTATGCTGACCCTGTGAGTCTTTAGACAGAAGCAGTGCTCTTGCCCCTCATCAACAAATCGTCTTTTGCAGCAGATGGCTATTCAACGGAGACCCATAAATGGTCAGAATGCAGAGAATAAGTGACTATGTGGTGCCTGCCCCAACCTGATACATCGCCAACGCCATCCCAACACCTAACACTCAAGAAAAATCACAGAATAGGGGGTGGAAAGACTGTAAGAGCCAGGAGACCAGGGCATCTGCTGTGACATGCTTCTGGTATATATAACTAGGAAGTTGCACCCCTGAGCTCCCAACAATAAGGATTATATATATATATATATATATATATATATATATATACACATATACATATGCTCACTCTTTTTCTGGTTCCAACCAGTAATGCCATCTTATCCTCACTTCATCCCCAGACAGAAGCTGCTGCTCTTTTTCTTTTTCCTTCCCGTCATCTGTGCCAGTCTTAAAACCACTACCCAGTTTTAAGCATGGAGATTTGTGTCTGTTCCAGCATCCTACATGATCCAGTCTCAACTGCGACATCCACACAAGACATTCCTCCACAATCTGCCCCTGGTCCTCCCTATGCCTTGAACTATGGATAAGTTCTCTTTCATTTGACTCCTACTAGACTCTATTGCACCCTTTTAACCTTGATCTACTTACTTTTAATGCAGATTAGCTCAGTAACTAGAATATCCTACCTGGGTATCTGTCTTAACTGATTTTTATCTTTTCCTAACAGCACAAATCAGTTTACTAAGAGTAGGTATTATGAGATTAATAAGTTAAAAATGGTAAAAATGTATAAAATGATGCTTCCCTTATTTGACCAAGAAGTGTTTATTCTGTGTTAGGATCAGGATCAAATGTAAATCTCCACTGTACTGGTTTTTAAAAACGACCTCACTCATGAATAGTTTAGTGTTACTGAACTTGCAATGAGGATTTTGTTAGCCAAGTCCACTACATATGAAGCCTATTGGCCAATTGAGGACTGTCAACTTTCCTACTGCTCCTTCAGAGAACTTCATAGGGAAACTGGGAGTGATAATCTATACACCATATGTTCTGCGAACATAAAGTTGGATATGTGTTAATCAAGTGGTTTCCATGAGAAACAGGAGGCCTCCAAAACATGAAAAATTCCCTTTAATTGTACTTCTTACAGTAGTCACTCCAGAGAGAAAAATATATATTTCAAACTTTTCATCTTAAAAAAAAAACAGTTAAATATCCAAAGCTGAAATATCTTGGAGCAGAAACACGATGGCTGGTAAAAAATGCTACATAAACAAGTTAGAAGCAAGTAAAGAGAGGTTTTATGTCTTTCATGTGCCTCATAAGCCTTGAGTTAGCTCCAGAGAGAGAGAGAGAGAGAGAGAGAGAGAGTAAAAGAGAGAGACTGAGCTTGTATTATCTGTAGTGTGTGAAAATGGTGTTGACATGGATATAAGATTCTCTCCCCTATAGGAACAAGGGCACATAACCATGTATTTCCTTAGCTGGATGCATTGGCTAAGATCGCTTTTATTTAGCTACTGTTCCCAGACCAACTTGTTCTTATTATTTGTTTCTTTGAGGAAACTTCTGGATAAGGAGGAAACAATATTAGATACTCTTAATCTTGAATACTTCAAAGGCACTTGGTTTGAAACTAGAAATGTTTATAAAAGATAACCTCAACAAATTACCTGAAAACTATATTACTATGAAAATTAGGGTCATAACATTTTCAAATGTTTGTGTTGTCATAGCATAAAATAAATGTCGATACTGTCATTTAAATCATTCAAGGTTATCATACGTTGTAATTACTTAGAAGTAGGTGTAAATATGAACATGTAATTTGTTGAATTTGGGAGTGGTAAATCGAAAGATTTTGTTTTTGATTCATCATTCCTAGCTGTGTTTGCTTCCTTTTTTGAACTTCCTTCTTCTGTAATCAATCTTTTTTTTTTTTTAATTCTTGTTATCTAAAATTCCTACTTCTATGTTGAGTGTTAAGGTAGCTTAAAAGATGTTTATTTGTTTTAAAAGGTCTCAAAACATGTATATTATTCCTCCTCCCCTTCTTCCTTCTCCTACTTTCTTCTTTCTTCTCCTTTTAAAATCTAACTTTGCTTTCTCTTCCAAGGAGTGTAGAAATGAGACACTCTCCTCACCCTTAGGAAGCTGCCAGTGACAGGTCACAGTAGAGATCCTCATAACTGTGTCCAGCCGAAGGTCATTTCCTTGCCAGAGCTTATGCTCCTAGTTGAGGGACAGTCCAAATTTGATTACTTTTCTATGAAGGAACCCAGAACCCAGGCCCTCTGACTCTTTCCTCTATAAATGCCCATTTCAGCTCTAGAATTACCTTTGAGGATGGCTGAGGCATCCTCTGCAATTATTCCCTGGTTGGGACCAATCCTGCCTCCTTCCTCTCCTAGGTTCTCTCCTGAAAGGATGTCCCCACTCACCTCCAGCATGGAGTCTTAGTTTCATGTCTCTCTCTAGGAACCTGGATTTTAAGCATCTGGTCCCAAATGCAGATGTTGATAATCCTCTACTAAGATAGACTGAAATCTTTGTTGTCATACACCGAGGATCTAACTTACAGGTAATAATTAACACCTCCCCCAACAACTCTCAGGAACTAGTTCAGACATAGGAGAAATTTAGTTCTTTTATGACCCTGTCTGGTAAAAGCTGAAACAGACTTTATCACCTGTAGGTGCAGCAAAGATTTATTTTCTTCCTCTGAATCACTTTAGATAGCAAACAATGATTCACTTCCGTGTATATGAATCACTTCTAGTGCTAGACATCAAAGAGAGTCGTGTCCATCACTGTGGGTGTCAGGCAAAGAAGCCTACCTGTAAATAATATAGATTTTGAGTTTTTAGATCTTTAAGATCTTTTAAAATGTTTGCATTTGCTGCTATTTATTGTTTGTTGGCAATGATAGAAACATATAAATTTGTATGCAAATTTCTCGAGATCAGGGTGTGTAGCACTTACTTAGTTTTCAATTCTCTGTATATCTGAGTGTTTGTGTGTGGGTATGTGCATGTGTGTGGGTGTGAGCATGTACAGTTGCTCACAGATGCCAGAGGTGGGCATCAGATACCCAGAGTTGAGCACAGGTTACCAGCCTCCTGAGATAGGTGCTGGGAACTGAACTCTGGTCCTCTGCAAGTGAAGCGCATGCTCCTAGCCTTGCGCCATCTCTCCAGTCCTGCATTTTTGCTTAGAGTGTTGCAAGAAACACCATAGGTATCAACAAACACCTGTTATGAAAGATTGGTATGTAAGTAATTACAACTGTGGAAAATGAGTCCATCGGAGATCCGTAGGCAGCAGATATGATCTATTACGGGGTCCAATAAAAACCAACAAGCATCAGATATCAAGTCACATTATTTTGTATTTAACAGATGTTGTATTTGCCCTTCATAGCCTGGAGAGATTTCCAAGTGTGTTCTGGCTTTCCTCCTCCGTCATGATTGCTTGTGAAAAGCATGGCCAGCAGCAGCATTTTCCAGGGACACTCCCAGGGAGGGACTGACCTAGTTTTAGCTCTAGTCCGTGTGCCTGAACTCCTCACGGTCACAGCGAGTCAGGACAGCTGGTTAAGGGTCACCCTTATAAACCCAAGTCCCTCATACAGACAGTTTTTCTATAAAAGTGGTTTGGTTGACTATTGATTTGTACTGGGTGAGGGCATTTCCTGGTTCGTGGTAGATCTTGCACGAACAAGCTAGTGAACTGCAAGACTAGAACTATACTGAGGTCATCACTTACACAAATCCAACCGGAGAACCTTGAGTGACGTGGTTTAGTCTGTCAGTTTCTTCTATTGGCCTTGTGATCAGGGAAGTGCTGGGTACCTAGAGTGTATTTTGCTGTACTGCCCTCCACATTTGCACATCTCTGCTGGTAGACCAGTGCAACTCTTCGACCTCATCAGGGAAGTTTCTTTGCGCAAGAATGGTGGTTAATGCAGAAACTCACAAAGTGGTCAGATCGAAGAGACGAAATGCCAGCGGAGTGCCTAGCCACAAAAGGCACATATAAGCCCTACTCAATGATAAGGGTCAATCCAGAAAGGGTGGGGGTGAGGGTGAGTGAGAAGATTCTGAGTTAGGAGGTCGAGGAGAACCAGAGCAAAGCATTATCTTCGGGACATGACAGGATGGCCCCACACAGACCCAGGAGTCTATGGACAGCTCAAATTGGAGTCTACGGGTTATTGAAAAAAGAAAAAAAAAAGAAACGGATATGAAGTTAAGGGGTGCGTGCAAAGGGTGGTAAGGGTCAATCTAAAAGGAGTTAGGGGTGGTGTTGGGGGCGAATGTGATCAATACATGTCACATGAAATTTTCAAAGATTCAATGAGAAATGGGAAAAAATAAATAGGGAAAAAAAGAGGAAGTCCCCTTTCTTAAACACGAAGGCCTGCGTCACTAAGTCGGTGTGTGATGAATGAGGGGTGCGGAGCGATGAGGCATAAGGCCATCATTATCCCCGAGACAGCTGGTCTTGAGTCTGTAAACCACGCGGAGGGCTGTTGCAGCACAGCTGGGGAGAAAAAAAAAAAAAAAAAAAAAAAAAACGGCCCCGGGGCCAGGCTTGCGGGAGAGCTGGGTATGTTTAGTTTCTAGAGGACATTTGTTTTTCAGAACGCCTCTCTCTCTCTCTTCCGAAATCTGGCAGCCCTTAGTCATCCGCCGCTCAGCACGAACCCCTAAGTGTGCTTGTGTGGCTCTGCGGGCTTCCTCCTGGCGCCCCGCCCCCGGGCTCGCAGGGCCTCCACCGAGCAGAGGTCAGCGCGTCGAGAGCTTGGGGTGCCCGGCGTCCAGGCGCTCCCCGGGGCGCTCAGCATCCGCGGCTGCAGAGGCTCTGCGCCACGGTCGGCCCTGGCAAGAAAGTTGTAAAGTGCCGCGAGGAGTTGGGCGGTCGGAGGAGGAGGAGAAGCGGAAGAGGAGGACTCGGCTGAGTTTCCGAGGCGATCGTGGGGTCCCCTGGCGCCTGTCCCGCAGCTCGCCACGGGCAGCTAGACTTCAGCCCTTCGGTCCAGGGTGGGCGCTAGACACTCGGCCCGAGGCCGCGGAGGAACTTAGCCTGAGAGCCGCAACCGCGGGCCTCATTGTCTGCAGCAACTCTCCCGGAATCCGGAGGGGGAGGACCGGACCGCGAGTCCACTGGGATTTGTCCAGAGTTCCGGCGGCAGCTGTGGCGGCCGCGGAGACTCCCTTTGTCCTCCCAGGACCTCCTTCTCTCTCCTTCATGGTGGCAGCTGCCGGGTGGCGCTGAGCCTGGAGCGGGTGTCCCAGCCCCGCTCAGCCCCTGACCCCGGGCTGAGTCCCTGCTGACTCCGCCTCTTTCGCATCTCTGCTCGCCGAAGCCCGGAGCTCAGACCCCGGAGCCCAAGGGGCTGTGAGGGAGCCGCCGGGCTCGGGCTACAGGATGGTGGCGGGTCGGTTCCGGCCGCGCAGCCCTAGGAGCTGGCTGTTCCCCTGCCTGTGGCTGCTGGCTGTGGGCGGTCCGGGATCTTTGCTGCGAGCTGAGGAACAGCCCTCTTGCAAAAAAGCCTTCGATCTGTACTTCGTCCTGGACAAGTGAGTGAAAGAGGATTGTAGGGCCAGGGTCTCCAGCGAGAGCAGCGTGGGCCAGCAGCGACTGAAGTTGAGATGTGTTTGGGTTCTAGGGAAGGGAGGTGGGAACTCTCCCTAAGGGTGCCTGTTGCTTTTTGAACGGTCAAGAAGCAAGCTAGTTGGCTGGAGAGGAATAGCGGTTGTGGGAGCGCAGGGCTTGGTTCTCCAAAGGTAAAGCTTTTGGTCCTGGGGTCTCTTGGAAATTGGGAGTATGGCTACCTGTAGAATGTTTCATCTCAGGAACTTTTTTTTTTCCGGCTCCTGGGTCTCTTTATCACACTCCTCTAAAGTTTGCCCAGTTTTGTCCTGATCACAGCGCTTTCATGGGAGCCAGGAAAAGAAAAACAAACAAACAAACAAACAAAACCCGTAATATACCCAATGTGGTTTGCATTTCCTGAGAAATGAGGGCTTGTGTTTTTATTTTGAAAGCCGGGTCTCTAAACAATTCGCAAGCAAGTTGCACCCAAAAGAAGTGTGGTCTTCCTGGCTTCCTTGGCTCAGCCCAGACACTACGAAGTTTCTGCTCCCACCATGAACATGTACTTGGCTTTGCAGAGGGGGCCAGGCCCCTGACTCCCCACTATAGAACCGAAGAAATGTTTGCATTTCAGGCCCATGTTTTGTTTCTGTGATCAGTTTATCTTCATTTTTTTTTTTTTTTTTTTCAGGTCTGGGAGTGTGGCAAATAACTGGATTGAAATTTATAACTTTGTCCACCAGCTTACAGAGAGATTTGTGAGGTATGTCTCCCCATTTCACTCTTCTTGGCATTGGAGAGGAAACTGACCAAAGGGCTGGGCTTCCCTGTTCTGAAACTCTTTGCAAGGAAAACCTTTCCCCAAGTGTTGACTTTTAAAGGTCTCAAGGTGGCCCTCGCACACACACGGGGTACTGTCCTATCTTTCAGCTGTCCCTTGGAAGTTCATTTCATCTGGCTCCCAGAAACTTGGCCCGGGCTTTGGGGAAACATCTTCAAATACGACTCTTAATGTCTTTTCCTTTTCAAACTTTCATCTGTTTTGAGTTTGAGTTATGCTTTCTCATAATTTATCACATTAAAAAAATAAATCTTATGCTAATAGTATCCATCCTATCTTTTCAGTTCCACATGCTTAGCACTGTAAACGTCCACATTGAAAAGGGAAAAAAATGTGGAAAACTTTAAATGAACATGTGTTAATAGCCCACTAGCAGAAAAGGCACTTGTGTGTGTGTGTGTGTGTGTGTGTTTAAAGAAGCGAGTCCTGTTTACACAGTGTGTGGGTGTGCGGCTGGTTTAAAATTTAGCTGTTCTCTATATGCAGGAGGCGTCACCAGCAAACACTGTTTTCCTTGCCTATAAAAAGCATGGCTGCTGGTAAATCCAGCTTACTCTCTTTAGAAGTAACTAGGAATTAGTGGCATCCCCTATTTTAAAACAACCCTGAATACCATGTTTTTGTGGCTCCCCTCTCCTTATTTTTATTTATTTATTTATTTTTGGAACTAAAGAAAAAAAATGCCAGGAACAAGTGCGAGTTTATCAGGATAATGGAAAGGACACGAATAGGAACTGTGTCATTAAATATTGCCTCCTTCAGTCTTGTTAGCCCAAATGTTTTCTGTAAAACAGGCTTGGATGATCAAAACATTTTGAAAGTCATGTTGCAAAAGTAACTTCAAACAATCTGTAGAGGCCTAGGCAATCCCCGCTTTGGTTATTGGCAGCAGTAGAACTATCCCTATAAAAATGTATGCCTGTCCGTGTTCAGTCATCAGTCTCCTGCTTCAGCAGCCAAAGATAGCACTGTGGTTCCTGGACAGAGTCTGAGGTAAAACAGTCCAGGAAAGAAAAATAAACAAGGGCCCATATCTGTGATTGTCAAAGCAGAATAGACAATTGTTTATAAATTTCCGATTCAATCCTAGAATGTGCTGGGAGTGTCATACAGTGTTAATCAGAAGCAATGGATTATGGCACTGTAACATCTGAAGAAAACAAGGCTCTTATTCATTGAGTCTGGTTTGCAAGTTGGATTTCTACAGCATATACTGTTCTCTGGCTCAACTTTAGTTACTCAGTTACTAATTATATGTTGCAGGAAATGAATAAAAGATGACTACTGACAAGCACAGTGCTACAGTATCTGGGAGTTTTTGAGATAACCCTGACCTTCATCCCCAATCTCAGTTTCAGATTTAGCAACATTAGTACGCACTTTTCTAGATACAAGCTGTGACACCACTTCCTCAATCCTAGAAGATAGACTGGAAAGTGGAAAATGCCAAATAAAAAGGGGATTTTTTTTTAACGCCGTAAGCATTCTCGTTTTACTGTGGATTTTGTTTGGACTCTTATCATAACTCTGACCATTGGGTCAAACTGGCTTCTCTCCAGCTATGAGTAGTTTTGAAATCAGTTACTCTGAAGGGCGTGGCCTCCTGCAGAGAGATGAAGTGGAAGATAAAAGGAAGAATCATTTGTTTCTAGGAAAGAATTTTGCAGCAGCCTAGAGTCTTTCCAGTCTAGATGTAAGCCCCAGTATTTCATGGAGGAGTGTTTTGGGACCAGACAAGCACCAGCTACATAAAAAGAAATGGAACTCAGACAGTAATGCTGAGCAGCGTTTGTTGATCTACTTAGAGAGTTCCATTTAAGGGAAAGGGTGACTGTTCTGTGAGACTAATTTGCAATGAGACTCCCTGGCTCTGCCTCTGTATTGTATCAATATTTCTTTCTTTTAAAAATGTTTTAACTGCCTCTTCCCTTATTTTGCAGCCCTGAAATGAGATTGTCCTTCATCGTGTTTTCTTCTCGAGCAACCATTATTTTGCCATTAACTGGAGACAGGTTAGTGCATTATTATTTCAATGCAGGCTTTTAGTAGAGATGAATCATAAAGACATGACTGATATTGCCAAGCGGTGATTCAGGCCTCTCAGTGGGATCCAGCGAATGCACAGAAAGTTCAGTGCTCTGCAGTAGTGGGGGGGCGGGCGGGGGGCGGTGTGAGTCATGTGAAGGAGTAGATCATCTGAAAATCAATGTTACTTATACAGATTGTAGACCAGAGCCCAGATCCCTGCCTCCGTTGCGTATTCACCGTTTCCCGCCTTTCTCCCTCTCTTCCTATGAGCAGCTGTACATCTTCATTAGTGAGAAGGTGGAGTCAGAGAGGAATTTGAAGGAGGAGAGATGGATGCATTTTAGTAATTTATTAGGTTCAGCAGATATTGCAGATTTTCAGTCTTTCTCTGAATGTCAGTGATGTTCAACATATTTAACTCTACAAGAATACACACATACACATACACACACACACACACACACACACACACACGAACACATGCACACACATGCACCCCCCATGCACACACTCACTGCTACCCCTCAGTGCGTTGAACATGGCTTTCCTGTCCAGTGTCATAGTATTTCTTGTGACCATTTCTATGCTCTTTGATATATCATCATATTATGACACTTTGGAAATATCCATTCAGAGCTGCTTTTTCTGCGGTTACTTTGGCTTACTAGACTATGAATTCTATAGTCAGGAATGGGATGCTCTTCTTCACTGTTGCCTCATTTCATCTAACACAGAGTGTGTAAGGCCTTGTTTAGTGAATACTTGGTGAATGAACGAGTGAGGTAACGTCATTTTGGAATCACCCCTTTCTGATCTATAGCTTTAAGTAAAGGTGATTTCTGTACTTTGATTATGTGAACTTCTGGAAAATAATGTGACAATAGTTTTTATTTTATTGCAAAACTCAGTTAATATACATTAACACTTATTTTCTTGAGCTTTCAGTTTCAAAAGATGAAGAAAGCACAATATTTGAAAAGGGCTCAAGGAGATAACTTTACAGTTTATTGGCTTAGTTTAGAAAATATGTCTACTAAAATATGTCCATGTGCATGTGTTTACACGTAACCCTTGTGCTTCGTTTTCTTTTTCCTGGAGAGGAAACCCCTCTCTAGGTTCTGAGTCCAGCTCAGGGCTTCAGTAGCCTCATTTGTATTTTGCCTCCTTCGTTTATTATGAACATGCGGTTCTCAACGATTACAGTTCCTTATTTATAACCCATGAACATAGTTCTATATGTGCATCAATACAAAAAGAATTTTTGGTTTTATGAGAAGGAAATGTCTTTACTGTCCAGTTTAATTCCCAGAGTCTGGTTTGTATCTAGCATGTCAAGAAAGAAAGACACAATTTTAATATTCATGACATTCATATATATACAGCAGAGCATTTAGCACAATGCCAGGCCTGTCAAAGACTCAGTAACCGACTGCTACATACATTGTGCCAGGGTTTCTGCTAGGCGCTTTGCATATGGGTCCTCCATCACTCTGAAGATGAAACACAGTCACTGGCTGCCCAAACTGATAATGTTTAGACATGTATGGAGGGGACTTAAGTCTTTTATGTAAGCTCAAGACACTTTGTCCTTTGTCAGTGGTTAAAGCCAATGCACAAGGAACTGAAATAGGTGGGAGGAGAGGCAACATCGTGACACAATTAAGAGTTACTACGCAAAGACTACTTGAGTTTGAATCCTATCCCTCCTCTAGTTGAGGGACCAAGGATAAGTTGCTTAATAACAAACTCCTTATGACTCAGTTTTTCTCATCTGTATGATGATGGCGATGATGACAAAAGTAACTCCAACCTTACAACATACTTGCAAGCATTGAAGGTGATGAGTATGAGAAAGGACCCAGGATTGTTTGCGAGATAAGAGGTTTGGAGCTGGGGAAATGGCCTGGTCAGTAAAATGCATGCATGCAAGCTTAAAAACCTGAATTCCATCCCCAGAAACTGTGTAAAAAAGCTGGTAATGGAGGTGTATGCGTCTCAAATCAGCAGCGGAGAGGCAGAGGCAGAGAGGTTCTTTGGGCGATTCTGACCAACAAGAGACTCTGCCTCAAAGCAAAAAACAAAAGAAAACCAGTGAATAGTGTCTGAGGTGTGATGCCCACGGTTGCTTTTGACTTCCAAGTACATGCGCACAAACAAAACGAGATGAATCCCTTACTCAGTGTCAGAGTTTCTGTCCATAGAACACAGATGGACAGCCTGCCATGTTTCCTTAGAGTTACTGTGACAATCCAAATAAGACAATGGGCTGAGTATTTTATATGTTGTAGAACAATCTCCTATAAAAAGGACCGCTTCCTTCTAAGCTGCCACTTTGCTGTTTCTAATAATTGAGTCAGTATCCAGTTACTACGATTCTCTGTCTTTGCATGTAGGATCATTCTACAGTTTTAAATTTAGGGAAATAGTTGAGATGAAAGATCAGTGGACAACTGTTTCCAAGACACATGGAGATCTTCGTATTAAAACCTTGAAACCAGAATCCTCACTGCTTGTAACTCACTTCCCTGAGGGTTAGCGAGCACACATGCACAAACAGATCTAAGCGTATGAACTGAAAAGCAGTAGTTAAGCAAAAGAAAAGTACAGAGAGGCTCACAATTTTGGTTGTGTTACTGTTAATTTTCAGTACCGTGGCAAATGCAAGAAGTAGTTTTTTCATGTTTCTTAGGGGATGCTGAAGAGATGAAGCAAGGTGGGAAGGCAATGAGTAATTCCTCCAGGGCTGTGCATAACACAGACATGTTATGATTTTACGATGTTCAGTGCTAAGTAAATCTACAAATTCATAATCATAGCAGACAAGTTTCACTTACACACTTTATATACCCATTGCTTAAATTTTTATTACAGTAAGTACTTTAATCTGGAGCACACTCAGCTTTCTTCTGTTCCCATGAGGCCATTGATTCACTTACCTACCTGCCTGCTTCTCTGCTTTGTATGTGGGGTTTAGAGTCCACAAAGGTTGTAATCTAATTTTTGTGTGTGTGTATGTTTGGGTGTATGGGAGAGAGAGAGAGAGAAACAGAGAGTTGATAGCTTATAAATTAGCATATCATCTTTGGCAGAAAAAGTTTTCAGTATCTATTTAAAAAAGAAAAAAAAAAAAAAAAAGAAAGTTTCAAGTAAGAAATTCCACTCTTTGCCCTGGCTCAGCAAGACAGATATAGGTACAAAATTGGACAGCAAAGAATTATTTGTAATAATGAGAAACTATATACAATGTGTATGCTCATCAATTGGTAAAATTTTAATAGTTATAATATTTAAATAGTATGTAATACCATGAAGTCATTACAGTTGATTAAATCAAAATATGTATAAGATATACAGTAAATGAAAAATCAAGTTGCAGAACACTTAACATGATTTTGTTTTGTGAAATGAAAATAGGTTTTAATGAATTGTATATGTTCAAAAACATGGTGTAGGAGGCTAGAAGATGAACAATAAAGGGTTAACGATGCTGGTGTAGGCAGGAGACGGAACATGTGGAGAGTCGTCATAATCTCAATCTTCATGTATACAGGAGGAATACATTTGTAGGAAAGCCTTTAGAATGCTTGAGTTAGAAGTCAGAAACCTTACTGACTCCTCCAGCCATGGGCCGCAGGCTTGGAATCAGAGTGGAAGGGAAGAACTGACAAAAGGCATTGAGCTATAGAACGTACTCAGTTTGTGGAGCCCGTATTCTCCTCGATAGTGAAAAGGTTGGACCATGGGTTAAGTAGACACAGGAGCTGTGTAGTTACTGATGACATTGGGGAGTTACTTAACTTCTTGGGCCCAAGTCCTGAGTTGCGTGGAAGGAGCTAACTGTCCCCACCTTCCAGCAGTGCTGAGGTGACTGTGAAGGTCTGGTTAAGGCCTTAGCACATACTGGACGCACCGGAATGTTTGTGACTGCCTGTTTTTCTCTCTTTGCTGCTATCTATCGCCTGCCTGCGATTTTGCACCTTTAGTATTTTCATAGCTGTTTTCTTTTTCTTCATGTGTTACTGATTGGGTGGGAAAGGGGCTAAGGTGGAGTTGGAGTTGAAGGTTATCCCAGCTTCATCCTTTGCCGGCTTACTAACAAGGTCAAAGACTTCAAGAAGTCCCACTCACTGAGCTCAGGCTGATACTCACCCTCACCCTGGCCTATGTGCTGTACTGACTCACGTTGCCCCTGTTCCCCTTCGGTATTTTTGAAATGAATAATAACCTGTCATCATTTGAAAACGTCACCATCTTCTGCATTACTCTGTTCTTACAAACTAGTGAACTGGGGAGAGTATGTGACCACACTTGGCTTGTTTCTTTCTCTTCCCCCGCCCCCCCTTTTTTTTAAAACAAATATTCTACTAGGGAAATCTGTTTAGAAGTCTCTGTTTTGGCCACAGACTTGCCCTCCTGATGGGTCTGGTCATGGCAACTGCTAGGTTCTGCTGATGGATATACTAATAGTTACTTTGCTCTATGAGCTTGTCTTAGAAAATGAAGCACACTTTTATTTATGCCTGGAGGATAAAACTGGAACACACAAAAGTGGCAAAATGCAGGGGCCACTTACAGAGCTTCAGTAGGGTGGTAAGCGACTGAGGGAATTAAGTGATAATATGAAAAAGTGCAGCAGGAATGAATGTCAAGGCTGAAGTACTAGAAAATGCAGACTGAACTGGAGAAACCTTTTATAACATCAGACTAACGTGGAACTTGGTGAGCAGATATTTTCAGATCCTGGACCACTCCTTTGGTTTTACTGATTCAGATTCTGTGCCACAAATGTAGGGCTTCGGATGATATTTGAAGAAGGCAATAGGCAAGATTTTATACAAATTATAGTGAGAGTCTGCCGTGTCCTAAGATGATAGATTATAACATACCTACACATTCACATGTTTTCTAAAATCTGTGACTGACCGATCGAAAGATTCAGGAGACATGGACATGAAATCCGTCAGCTCCAGTTCCAGGCCCATGA